TCACGGCGGAATATATCCAAGGCCTCTGCAACACCACGGTAAACTGGCACTCACGACACCTCATGAACCCCAGCGATTGGCAACTGGAACCCGGGGTCTTCCGAGACATCCAATCCCTGTGGGGCCCTATAGACAAAGATGTTTTCGCTGAATACACAACTTCCCAGATTTTTCAGCTGGAGACCGGACCCATCAGCACTGGCAACAGATGCCTTCACCCAGGACCTTTCCTCTCTTTGCGTTGATTCCCCCTTGCCTACTACAATTACGACACCAGATGGGAACTCTAGTGATTGTGGCACCATTATGGCCTTCCCAACCATGGTTTCCTCCCCTCTTGGAGATGGTGATAGACATACCCCGCATCCTCCCACGCCTCGACTACCTGCTTCAGGACCCGGATGGGTCTCCCCACCCCCTGGTCCAACAAGGTCTACTATATCTCACAACGTGGCTAGTTTCAGGGAGTCTTGCTCAATCGAGGGAGTTTCTGAATCAATTCACCAACTTCTCGAGGGCACATGGGCACCCGGCACGAGACAGGCTTATAAATCTGCTTGGAACAGATGGCGTGATTGGTGCATGGAACGGGATTTGGATCCCATATCGGCTCCTCTGACTTCGTCTCTCCAGTTCTTAACCTCACTGTTTGACATCGGCAAAGCATATCATACAGGGAACCTCTATCTATCTGCCATCTCGGCCGCACACCAAGGTATAGATGGAACACCAATAGGACGCCACCCGCTGGTATGCAGGCTCCTACGTGGCATCAAATTCGCACGTCCCCCGCTACCACGCTATTTGGTACTACGGGACGTCTCCATTATCCTCAATCATGGCCAAACAACACATCACTATCCCTGAAACAGTTGTCGTCAAAACTGGTCATGCTCCTCTATCTCATATCCTGCAAGAGGGTTTCCGACGTCAGGGCTCTAGACATTACCCGCACGTTCCTACACTCCGGAAGGGGTCACTTTCGATATATCCCGAAGAACGAAGACGTCATCAAAGAGAACGACATACCCATCTTTCCCTGACAAACCTTTCTTATGCCCGGACAAATGTCTTCAGTCTTACAAACTTCGTACAGCTACATTACGGGACCCAACAAAACACAAACTCTTTATTTCTTTCCAGTGTCTACTCCTACCCTGGCTCGCTCGGTCAAATGGATTATGTCTGCAGCGGGAATTGACACCTCACTATTCTTACCTCATTGAGTTCGATGAGCGATGGCCTCCAAGGCCTCTTCGATGGGTTGTCGTCTTGAAGACATTTTGAAGGCGGCCGACTGGTCCTCAGAATCTACCTTCCGTGATTTTTACTTTAAACCCATACAACATTTCGCGGGAACGGTAATCTCTCATCTTTAAACCAGCATAATTGGAGCCTCCGTGTCAATAAAATTCAAAAGAGTATTCACGTAAAGTCATGATTTTATTAACGACACGGAGGCGAGTATTATCCCTCCCCCCCCCACCTGAAGAAGGATGGAGGGTGGATGGAATGTGGGTAAATTAATCCACAGTAAATTATGTTGAACATCAGTCTCTCCTCCTGTTATACTCGTCAAGAATTAAGTTAACCTCTTTGGCTTAAAATAGGTAAAGTTTCTACAGGGAGTGCAGAATTATTAGGCAAATGAGTATTTTGACCACATCATCCTCTTTATGCATGTTGTCTTACTCCAAGCTGTATAGGCTCGAAAGCCTACTGCCAATTAAGCATATTAGGTGATATGCATCTCTGTAATGAGAAGGGGTGTGGTCTAATGACATCAACACCCTATATCAGGTGTGCATAATTATTAGGCAACTTCCTTTCCTTTGGCAAAATGGGTCAAAAGAAGGACTTGACAGGCTCAGAAAAGTCAAAAATAGTGAGATATCTTGCAGAGGGATGCAGCACTCTTAAAATTGCAAAGCTTCTGAAGCGTGATCATCGAACAATCAAGCGTTTCATTCAAAATAGTCAACAGGGTCGCAAGAAGCGTGTGGAAAAACCAAGGCGCAAAATAACTGCCCATGAACTGAGAAAAGTCAAGCGTGCAGCTGCCACGATGCCACTTGCCACCAGTTTGGCCATATTTCAGAGCTGCAACATCACTGGAGTGCCCAAAAGCACAAGGTGTGCAATACTCAGAGACATGGCCAAGGTAAGAAAGGCTGAAAGACGACCACCACTGAACAAGACACACAAGCTGAAACGTCAAGACTGGGCCAAGAAATATCTCAAGACTGATTTTTCTAAGGTTTTATGGACTGATGAAATGAGAGTGAGTCTTGATGGGCCAGATGGATGGGCCCGTGGCTGGATTGGTAAAGGGCAGAGAGCTCCAGTCCGACTCAGACGCCAGCAAGGTGGAGGTGGAGTACTGGTTTGGGCTGGTATCATCAAAGATGAGCTTGTGGGGCCTTTTCGGGTTGAGGATGGAGTCAAGCTCAACTCCCAGTCCTACTGCCAGTTCCTGGAAGACACCTTCTTCAAGCAGTGGTACAGGAAGAAGTCTGCATCCTTCAAGAAAAACATGATTTTCATGCAGGACAATGCTCCATCACACGCGTCCAAGTACTCCACAGCGTGGCTGGCAAGAAAGGGTATAAAAGAAGAAAATCTATTGACATGGCCTCCTTGTTCACCTGATCTGAACCCCATTGAGAACCTGTGGTCCATCATCAAATGTGAGATTTACAAGGAGGGAAAACAGTACACCTCTCTGAACAGTGTCTGGGAGGCTGTGGTTGCTGCTGCACGCAATGTTGATGGTGAACAGATCAAAACACTGACAGAATCCATGGATGGCAGGCTTTTGAGTGTCCTTGCAAAGAAAGGTGGCTATATTGGTCACTGATTTGTTTTTGTTTTGTTTTTGAATGTCAGAAATGTATATTTGTGAATGTTGAGATGTTATATTGGTTTCACTGGTAATAATAAATAATTGAAATGGGTATATATTTGTTTTTTGTTAAGTTGCCTAATAATTATGCACAGTAATAGTCACCTGCACACACAGATATCCCCCTAACATAGCTATAACTAAAAACAAACTAAAAAATACTTCCAAAAATATTCAGCTTTGATATTAATGAGTTTTTTGGGTTCATTGAGAACATGGTTGTTGTTCAATAATAAAATTAATCCGCAAAAATACAACTTGCCTAATAATTCTGCACTCCCTGTAGTTCTGATAACCTATTACCTATGTGTACATCCAGTTTTTATAGAATAAATATTTCCCCTCTGGAAAAAAATAGTTAAATTATTTTCCGATATCTATGATTTATGTATACACCCAGTTTTATGCTAGGATATTACCATATTTTTCCTCTCTTACAGCCTAACATATCTCACACCGATACGGATATTCCCTTTGTACACGGTTCCATGTTTAGTTGGATGGTTATACTTATTCGGGACCACAAATAAAGAGAAAACGGATTGCTTGACAGAGCCTATTATGCTGGAGAGTGGAATCGGATTGGCTGTTCCTGTTGCTGACTCTATTGCTGATAGGGTGTTGCTGACCCTATACTGTTGTTGACCCTATAGTGCTAAACCCACCACTTAGGTGGCTTGCTCCCCCCCTTAGCCCCCCATAAAAGTATAAAACTCACCTTATTTCCAGCGCTGCGCGGGTCCGCCGGCACTGGCTCTGCCCCCTTTGTGACATCATTGAAATGCCCGTTTTTTTAGCCAATCCAATGCTTTCCCACAGGGAAAGCATTGGATTGGCTAAAATCGTCACGGGCGGGGCCAAATGTCATTTTGGCCAATCAGGAACTCCTCATAGAGATGCATTGAATCAGTGCATCTCTATGAGGAAAATTCAGCGTCTCCATGCAGAACGTGGGAACGCTGAACGGCAGAGCTGCCTACTGTGCTGCACTGAGCCAGGAAGCCCCTCTAGTGGCCATCTGAGTAGTTGACACTTGGAGGTTTCCCTAGGGGCAATGTAAACACTGCCTTTTTTCTGAAAAGACAGTGTTTACATGAAAATGCCTGAAGGGAGCGATTATACTCACCAGAACAACTATATTAAGCTGAAGTTGTTCTGGTGACTATAGTGTCCCTTTAAATTTGAAATGCACTTTGCATTCTTGGCAATTCTTACTATAGTGAATAATCCCTTGAGAATAAATCACTGATCCCTAGATCATTAGAACATAGCTAAGGAGGTTGAGTGACTTTATGGAAGGTTCTGAAAGATTTAGCTTTGCTTAATATTCCTGAATTTACACACTTATAGATTTATTCACTAAAGCGAGAATTTCAAATTTAAAGAACTGAACTGAAAGCATATCTGAATTTGAGAATTTTTTGATTCGGTAAATCTGACCTTCAATTCGAAATTCACTTTGAAATTTCACTTTTGTGGATAACCCTGTTAAAGTGACTCTGTCACATTCTGGGGCTGTTGCATATTTATTAAAAATCAGCAATGGTGATATCGATGCTTGGTGTGTGTTAGCCGGGAAAGCCACAAAGGTGACTTTTACTTATCTGATATTGTCCTGTGCACACACACCGCCATCTTCTGTCTTTAGCTCCTGACGCTGTATCTGCCAGGAGCCCATGTCGGTGCTGTACTCGCGTACATGCATGATTGCACAACACTGATGTCTATGTAAGATCCTGCGAAAATTGAAATAGTGAAAGCTTGCATTGATATTGTCTCGCAATGAGCAGGAAAAAGTATTTTCCCCACAGCTGTCACTAATGAAGCCTAGGGAAAATGAACAAAAGTTAAAAGCGGTAGCTATGTATTCAAGTTTTGTCAACTTGAGGATTGTCCCTAATTTGTCTTATGATATCTTTTGACGGTGTTGGAATTTCAATGAAATAAGATAAGATCTTTATAAAAAAAAACTCAAACTTTTTTCGGGTTACAGAGCCGCTTTAAGTCTCAGTTCAAGTATGGCTAACGTTGGTATCCTAGAGAGGTTATCGTCATAAGAAATGTAGTTCACAAAAATCCAGAGGGCCAAGTTACATATCCACATTGTTCCTAGAAGGGCTACTCTCTTATTAAATATAGTCATTTTAATTGGACTAGTTTAAAATACTTTTTGACTGTATTTAACTTAAAACGAATGTCGGTCAAATGGAAAACAAATATTCATTACTTTGCCAGTCCATAATATTTTAGTGTTTAGCACAGCAGTGTCTCATCAGCATGAGGTTGGTTACTGGCTTGCTATTGAGGCTTGGCAGTACTTGCGAAGCAAAAATCAAGAAAGTTACGGTGAAAAATTGTGATTGAAAACACCTTCAAGTCAATACATTGTTAAACACAGATCTGAACACACCAGTCAAGCCATCAGACTTGCTTTTCCCATGGAAATCTGCAGTTTGCAGTCATGTTACTTATGATCAACCGCTGTAGGGACATGAGATGGTCACAGACATTGCCAGGTAAGACTGCAGAACCCCCATCACCCTCCCTATGTCTCAATACCTGAAATCCCACAAGGAACAGTGTTTGTCATTTCATCCAATGGAGGAGGAGTTTTATCACAAAGGACTTCTTTGTCTACCTCCTGAGTACTTGCAGATCAAAGCACGTTCACATGGGGGGGGGACCCCAATTTATATTAACAACCTCATCTCAGAATTATTTAGCCACGCTAATTAATCCCTTTGATTCTCAATATGTAGACTTAAATCGCCTAAAAAGTCAATGGGCATACTGCTAATAATATTGGCATATTTCAAATAATATTAATAGTATATGATGTTATGCAGAAAATATGTGTGCCTCTTTTAATAAAATATTGTGATGCACTGTCGAATATGTTGGCATTTTATTCATGGAAAATGTCAAATGGGGCACTGTGCAATTTGTAATTCTTTATGTTTGGTTTAATTCACACCCTTTGTACAGCGCTACAGAATCTTGCTGGTGCTATATAAATATATAAAATAATAATATATAAGACATTGGTGCAGTAAAACAATGATAGTAGGCATGCACTGGATTTTTCGTGCACGTGACATGGTGCAAAATGGGAAATGCGTTGCAGACAGTGAATTTAAATTTATGTCTTGGCTTCGCACTTCTAAACTGTACAAAATACATCTAGCTCAATGCTGTAAATGAGCTAGTGCTAGTCTATACTGTAGCAATCACTTGCCTTGTTGGTAGAACATGTTAAGAGCAGAAACATAGAATGTGACGGACATGGGATGGTCACAGATAAGGCATATAGCCTTATGCCTATACCACGCATGCTTAAACTCCCTCACTGTGTTAACCTCTACCACTTCAGCTGGAAGGCTATTACATGCATCCACTACTCTCTCTGTAAAGTAATACTTCCTGAAAAACAAATTATACAGGATATATAGCTGGTTCAAGGAGTGTTACACCCGTCTATATAAGTGCTCACTATATCCTGATCGCAGCATTACTACAGCTGGGGGGGGGCTGGGGTGTATTTATGTGGTCTAATGACCAATCATTCTGAGGGTAAGGAATGGTTATTGGAATGCACAAAATTAACTATAAAACTGGGGACAAAACCATGGAAAGAAGAAACAAATAACATAAGGCCAAGTGAGTAGCCATACTGACAAGTCGCACATCACTGAAGCTCCAATTGCATCTACACCAAAAAGAGCTTAAACTATGAGAAAATCGATCAGTCATTGTCAATAACTGAACCTGCCACTTAACTACAGTCATGGGGCGCCGGAGCAAGAAGAGCAAGCCTGATCGACCCCCTACAACAACCGATACTGGCGATTTATAAGAAGCTGCTGCACTCTTTGAAGAGGCCTGTCATGGTGCCGTTCTCAGACGCACCGTCCCGCACTACCAGTGAGGAATTCTCTTTGTGGTGAGTTAGGCCCTCTGAGGCCCGGCTAGACAACAAGAAGCGACACTCACCACAGAAACAAACCGACAAGCCTCCGGTCACATAGGACACTGCTGGGCCTGTTGGACTAACAACGTAGCGGCCTACATCGGGCAGTTCAGGGAGGAAGTAAACGGGTTCTCGGCTCGTCTCCACAATTCAGAGGTCAACACTGCAGCTCACAAGACCCGCATTGCTACCCTGGAGCAGTCCCTAATCAAACTCCAACAGTCACAAATGCAAACCGACGACCGAATTGTCAGTACTAGAAGACAAACATAGATGGAAGAACATCAAAGTCCGCGGCCTACCTGATGCTATGGAGGTGGCCGAATTCCCGCACCTCTTCCGCAGACTATTTATGCTCTTCTCTTCCAAGCATGCCAAAGCTATGACCCTGGACAGTTGGTACCTCATTCCGGGACCCACTACGGGCACACAAAAGATGGGCATAATTCTCCACTTTCAACAAGGACAAGACTGCATTGCCGTCCGCCACAAGACTCCACTCAAGTTTGAGGAGCATACCATCACCTATCCAGACTTATCCAAGGCCACCATGAACTGGCATAGATCCATGAGACCGCTAACGCAGGCATTAGTCACAAACAAAATGCCATAAAAATGGGATACGCCTCACTGCCTACTTATCACCTGGGACTTAAAGTCTTGGAGGCTTCGGAGACAACTGGTGTTCTGCTCCAGCTTGGACTATCCATAAAGACCCCTGAGACCGCACCCCAGCCGACATTAGCAACCTTGGACCCGGAGAGGGTCATACCGTTCATACCAGCGACCTGCAGGGGAAGCTCTTTAACAGTGCCGGTGCACTGATAGTGCTAAAGTCCGCACTATAGTGCCCTATGTGTACACTCTTGCGTGCTTTACTGTTATACCTTATGTTTCTTTTTGTTCATTACTGTTATAGTTTTGTTTGCTATCGAGTATATGGCACTTGTTTAAATTCCACATTGCCTTGACACTGCCTAACAGGCACCCTTAATGGTCATAAGGACCCTACGATTTCTCACCCCCCACTACTCAACTACATTATGCTAACTATTCCACCACTTCTTAAGTGGGGTCTCTAGCCCCCTCGAACAACATAGAGGTACAACTCCTCTTGGTCATAATATTTTACGCAGACGGCATACCCTGCACCATACCCTTAAGTATCCCTTATACTAATTGCTATTTACTTAGTTTACAGAGGGTATTGGATGCAGTATACAACTTACTACATATATTCAGATAAAATACAAAAACCTACGGCCTAGAATGCTTCATACTTATCCATGTTATATGCAGTACAGTTAGTTATGTCTATATTACGTATCTGACAAAAAAAATAATTAAGGCCAAGTTAGGTGAAGATGATCTGTCCCGTTAGGGTATTCATGTGGTAATTGCTGTATATATGTCCGATGCGGCCACCCTCGCTGGGTCCCATCGGTGGGTTGCTCAGGGCCCGGTAGATGTCAGAGATGTCAGGAGTAACAGTGTGGCTAATAGGGCTGTTGCCTCTCAGAGATCATGCACTGTATGCTAGGAGTCCTGCTTGAGGACCATTAGCATGTAGGCCAGTCGCCAGTGGTACTGGGTGCTGTCTCTTGATGAGGGTTGTGAATGTTCCAAGGGATGTTAGCCATGCCGGCGTGCCTCTCGAGAGGTCAGCATTGAACAGGAATGACATCTCTTCGAAATTGTATGGTGTTTGTTCCTTAACAGCAGCTAGTACTGACGCTTTGTCGTTGCCATTCTGAAAGTGGACCACCAGGTCCAGGAGAACTGTTTCTGGAGCTCTTGGTAACTTGGGATTGCGGCAGCAAACATCCAGCATGGCAGCACCACTGCCTTAGCCTGTTGTGAGGGTAATAACGCATGCGGCAAATCCTCTGCCAGCTTGTCCTCCAGGGTTCCCCGTATTTTTTTTTTTGCACTGCACTTCCTCCATTGCTGCAAATCACCATTCATACAGGTCATGTTGTCGCTGAAGTCCCTGCATCATCTTCTGCATAGAAGCTAGGTGCTGAGTGTGCTCCCCATAGGTAGTCTCCATTCTCCAACACTGTCAACCGACCTGTCAGGCCTTGGAGATCTGTTTGCAGCTTTGCTACATGGGTCAATTAGGTTTTTTGCAGATCCGCCATGAGTTCCTTTAAAACTGCTGTTGTCCCTGGAGATGTATCTCAACCCGGAGGTACCGGTGCCAGCCTGGCAAGTAAAACCACTTTTTCTCGCCTAGAGACAGTTCATCAGAGAAATTGGAGTAGGCCTCTGGATAGGCAGCCACCTTTGGCCTCTTTGCGACTTGCACCTGCTGCAGGAGCTAATCTGATGCCTGTCCGACTTTTGTTTTTTGATCTTTCGACCCATTTTGGCTCTGCAGACCTACTTGTGCCACTAGCTGCACAAGTCAGGGTTTGATTTCCAAAAAAAGGAAGATATTACTTCAATGGCTTGGAGCTGTGAATGAGTGTTACCATTCAGCTCTGCTGCTAGACTACATGCCTTGCACTGTGCAATTTATTATCTCTTTATAAATGTATAAATCTGAATCTTTTCACCCCTGGTTAGAGTTAACTATCCTTTTTATTTTAGGGGGACATGAGGTTCCAGTAATCAGAATAGCCCATTACAATGCTCCAACATGATAAGCAAATGCACTTATTTCCTGGAATGTTCCTTTTAAAGAGTAATTATGTGATTCCTGCTTACCTGATCAATAATTTGTGGATGATTAACGACAAAGAGAAACTAACTTGTATAATAACAAAGAGGGTAGGGACTTTTGGTGCAATATAGGACCTGAGCCATATGGCCATAGCGGATCCCTGGGGCAATACATGGTTAGTAAAGCACTGAATCATATCCCCAAAACACAAGGTTAGAATAATATGTACCAGATATACAGGATCAGTAAAGAGCTGGGCTGTATCCCTGCTATACAAGTGTAGCGGAGTGCTAGTCTTTCATAGACTATCTCCGCTGGTAATCCAAATAAGGCTTAGGAACAAGTAATAAAACCCAAGAGAATAATATCCACGATTAGGAAAGTAATCCAAAAGTATCCCACACATTTCCCAATGACTGGACGACACACAGCATCAGGAACAGAACTGGACTTTTATTCCAAGCAACCTTCTTTTAAAGATTTCTCCCATGCAAGGGAAGGATTCACATCAATTAGTACAGTGTCCAGTAGTGTAACCGGCACCTCCCACACATCTCCTCTCCTCAGTGTGCCACATAATCCACTAATACATACTACAGTTTTACCTGATTTCTGGATGTACCCCAAAACAGTCAGATAGAGTTATACAATGGGTACCCCCCTGGTAGCCCTGATCTGGGTGACCAACATATTCAAAATTCATCCAGATCAGACCAGGGGTTCGGGAGTTATGTGGTAGAGG